TTGCACATAAGAGTGACAACATCACCATGCGTGCATAAGCATCCCCCGAAAAACAATGCAGATTTTATATATATATATATATATATATATATATATATATAAGGTTTTATTTGTAAAATATGGATGCTGAAAATATGAATTGTTGAACAGACTCAATTTAGTTCAGTTCACTTTATTTATATAGCGCCAAGTCACAAGAACTCTTGTCTCAGAAAACATTTACATGCATTATGAAATGCCAAATAGTAAAATTTGTATTTGTACAGAAGGCAGGAGATTGCATGCAATCCAGTTCATTGCAACCTCCCATCCTGAGCAGCACACTGGTGACAGTGGAAAGGAAAAGCTCCCTTTTAACAGGAAGATACCTCCTACAGAACCCGGCTTAAGATGAGCAACCATCCGATTGCTGTTTATTATTTAGCTCCAAGTTATATTTAAAAAGATGGAAATGCCTCAGTTACATTTTCATATCTATCTTTGTCTTTGTCTGTGTTTTAGATGTGGTTGGTCAGGGACTTAGATCTTATTTACAAAGTTAAGAAAGTTTTGATTCTGAATAAAATCTGGGAAAAAAGCAAGCAGCAAAACACTTTAGGCTCAGAAAATCTTTTTTTTTAATGATGCTCATAAGAGACATTTGAAGGGTTAAGTATCTGTTTAACGATACAGTTCACTTGATCTCACAGACGTGAAACTCTAAAGCCAGTTTGATATTGAGAAATTCAAATTTGGTTTATCCCAGTCATAAAGAGAAATTCTCAATCACCTGATGTTTCACTATGATTCACGGGGACATTTATAAGTAAACGAGAAAAGACTCTTAGACAAACGTCTCTTAGACAAAGCAAAACATTTAAATAATGCACTTTATCAAACCAAAGCAGGAAACTGACCAGTATTCAGTCACCACAATAATTAATGGTTGCACAAGCTGACGTTGCAAACATGTTGGAATAAGTCAACATCTATGGTGTGAAACCGCAGGTTTGTCTCATGCTACATGACATGGTCGAGGTGTTAGGTTTTGTCATCTTCTGTTCCTTTTGGTGTTTTGTGCTCCAGTACACAAACTGAAAATAAATCTTATAAAAACTTTACTCTAGTTTACCCCTTGAAAAAGCAACGAATCTATTTCAAACGGAAAAAGTTGAACATTTCACTCTATTAACACTGACTTCTGATAAACGACATTAAAAAGAAACATTTTTATATGACTTTCCATTTCACTGAATTCTATTTATTCTGCTGCTTAATATTTTATCGTGCGCTGTGCAGTCAGCATAAAAAAGAAACCTTAAGAGACTCTGAGGACAAAACGAAACCGGTTTCTTGTTAAAACCACCCACATTTCCTGCTGCTTGTTCCTCCATCGCAGCATCAAAGTTTGCAACTGACAGGTTGATGCTGAACGCTGCAGTTTGTCGGTGAGAGGTTTGGTTGTGTTTGGAGTTCAAGGTTTACTTCAAGTATCTGAGCACTGCCCATCTCTCTGGTGTCTTTCTGACTCGGATCGCCTTAATAACTGTGAACCAACACGGAAACAAGCAATTGTAAAACGTTTCCAAACAGTTAAATGAAGATTGCTTCCACATTTTAATTTTTTTTTAAAACATACAAGCAGAGTTTGTAACTAATTTTGTTATGACTTTAAAAACATATTCATTCTAAACCCAACAAAGTTCAGTCAGATCATCTAGATGATTTCTTTTTTTTTTTTTTTTTTTTTTTTGAGACGTTTCGTTCTTCATCCAAATGACTTCATCAGTCCAAGGAGCCACAAAAAACTGAGTCCCACAAGCAGCACGCTCACATAGTGGGCCAACCAGTTTGCATGGTGATAAGATGGTTTCTGGGGCCTGCCCTCTCCCCCGTCGACTCTACTGTGGCAACCATAGCCACAGTGGTTCAAAACATCAAAGTTCATGCTCAACAGTCCAGGTCAAACATCCAAGAAAGGATCATCTGGATGGTTTCTTTTTATTTGTTGTAAAGTTTCGTCCTTCATCCAAAGGACTTCCAAACCATCTTATCACCAGAACACTGGTTGGCCCACTATGTGAGTGGGCTGCTTGTGGGACTGAGTTTGTTGTGGCTCCTCGGACTGATGAAGTCCTTTGGATGAAGGACGAAACATCTCAAAAAAAGAAACAGAAACTGCCTAGAAGAGCTGAATGAACATAGTTGGATTTTTTAACCTGGATTATTGAGCATGAACTTTGATATTAATTCTAAACTTGTGTAAAATGATGCCTAAAGTATATAAATATCATTTTAATACAAATTTATTTAATACCTTACTGACTAGTCTGCAGTTACTGCTGTCATACAATATGATGCAGTGGCATTTTAAAACGTATGCGGACAACAGAATCACTGAATCCCACAATCATATTGACATTGTCGACTATAAATTGCTGTTTTTCACTTCACTTGGCCCCATGACTTTGGCTCAGGGGTGAAGGATGGCATTATAGGCACTGACACAACTGTCAAATTGATAGTCACTGCTGGTTGTATATTCTACAGAATCACGACAAACAATGAAGGCCCGTGCCGCTAGAAATATATGCAGTGATTTTGTTTTCTCTTTTTGTAAAATGACAAAAAAAAAAAAAGTTGAATTTATCATTTCCATACCACTTTTAATGCCAACGGCTCACAAGAGAGGGACAACATCTACACAGAAAATAAGAAAACACAAACACTGATAGTCATTAGAAGATATTCATTAAAGCAGGAGACAGGAGGTAGACGGCAGACGGTATCTAGGGGGGCAGCATCCAAACCCCGTTTTCTGACACTGCATTAAGAATGTATGACGGAGATTTTCATATAATGTGCCGTATCACAAAGTGACAGGTTTTCCAATTGTCCAATAATGATCTATTTGCCAATTCAATACGACTGAAGAAGAGTCGGCAGGCGGGTGCAAAAATATTAATAAAACATTGAATGGAGGGATTGTGACAGTTCCATTTCAATCCCGCCTTTGCCTTTCTAGTGAAGACTCTTAGAAGACGTGCGCAATTGGGGTAAACCAGCACTTGGACGGCTGCCTGAGTTTGTATGCACATTGCATTTTTTTGTTCTCTTTATCTGACACTAGACGCCTACGATGCACTACTTTCACAAGCAAAGCAAACGTCTTCTTGCATCTGCTCTCCTGTTTGTTAAGATAGTTTATATTCACGCTGGCTGCTAAACATTCTGTCTACGGTTAATTAGTTAATGCCATCAGGGCTAAATATAAATACAGGACACAAATGCGACCCTCTTAAGTGCAAATTTAAAATACAGGAAAGTGAGTTGGGGGTGTTTGTGTGTCTTTATGATGGCTATTATCAAGACTTTTGCAAAATGTGTGATCATCTAATTGGATACAAAATAAGAACTCAGTCTGTAGGGAAATAAAAAGACGTGGCGTGTTCACTTTAAACTTTTTTTTTTTAACTTTATTAGGCAGGTTTGAAATAAAAGAAGCATTGTGACAGGAACTGATGCTGCTGGCAAGGAAAGAAAAAAAAAGGCAGCATCCAAAATATAAAAAAAACAAAAAAATCATTGTCGTGATCATCATCATTATATATCAAACCAAAGCAAAAAGAAAAAAAAAAAGTCAAATAAGAATAAAAATACACCTCCATTGTAAGAAGCAAAAGTGATCTTTTTTTTTTCATAAATAAGAAAACCCTGTCAAACAGCTGATGAGCAACTAGCAAAAAAAAAAAAAAAAGTACTGATAACCATTTCAAATATTTATCAATACTGGATTTACAAATAAAATAACAACAGTTGGCAGGTTTTTTTTCTTCTTTTACACGACTTTAAATGTTATTGTCTTGCAGCAACTAAAACTGAAATTCTGCTACACAGAAGAGATAAAAACGAGATTTTTTTTTAAAATTTTTTTTTGTCAGCATTTCTGTTAATCACACAAAAGTTAAAAACATGAGCTCAACACAACCAAACACCAACCAGGAACTAACAGTGATGGCTCCGTTCACGTTCTGCAGGTCTTCACTCCTGCACGTCGACGAGCCAACATCGACATTATGGTCAGAAAAGGAAATAAAAGTATGTGTGTTGGGGGTGTGGGGGTGGGGTGGGGACAGGCATTCTGAGGCAATAATTTTTCTGCACCGCCACCTGAAATTTTTTTACATCTCATTTTATCTCACAGCGTTTTCGTTTCTGTCTCTATGCTCTGGATCTCTCACCTGGCTCTTTTCCATTTAATGATTTGCAGGACACATATTGTGTATTCGGTTTGAGATTGAACCTTATTGGGGGGGGGAAAAAAAAAAAAACACACCAGTGAGCACAGATTTAATGCAAGAATGAAAGTGTGAAATACTCCTCTGAAATCCAGCTGCACAGGGCTGTTAAAATTCACGAGAAGGACGCGAACACTGAGATAGTCACACGCGCACACACACACTCAGCTGCTCACATCATGAATGTGGTACATTCTAACATACACTCGCTCTCATACAATAACATACATGTACTGTTAACAAAAAAAAAAAAAAAACAGTTTTAGCCGAACTTCCAATCGCCAATTTGATCCCATAAAAGTAATATTTACAATCACACTGTGACAGCCTGGTAGACCTCAACAAGTCTTTAATATTTAAACACACACACACAAAAAAAGGAGGAAAAAAAAAAAAAGGGGGTTTTCTTTCTCTTCCCTTTTCAAGATTTGCGGTTGATTCTTTCGGCCCGTAAGCGAAGCTACCATAACATCAAGGCCTACGCTGAACATACTAGGAGTTAATATTTGTTTACATTACAGGGCCCATCACTGTTTGGCAAAAACGAGAAATAAAATCAAATTTAAAAGTTGAATAAAAAAAAATAGTAACAACGACAATTAAAGTCAAATATTTTTTGCAAGCAAGAAATAAATAAGACAGCTTCAACAATTAAAAAAAAAAAAAACATAGTAAAGAAGAAAAAAAAATGACAGAAATGGAGATAGTATATTTATTTGTTTCTTTTAGTTCTACTTAAAGCTGGATGGGGTCCCTGAGGGGACTTTTTGATGGCGACACAAGAGGAGCTCTATAGCCTGACCTGCATATCAGATGGGACTTATAGACACGTCTCAGGAGGAGGAAGGGATGCATCATAAGTGCTTCGTAAATTTAAACAGCAAGGGGACTGCTAACACAATGAGTGGTGCAGACAGTAGTCATCTAGTCCAAAAAATGGTCACAAAATCTATGAACCGAGAAAAATATTTTTTACTTTGAGAACGAAAAAAATGTTGGTGACAGTTTTGGAGAAGCATGAAACTGTATGTGAATATTACACTGGATCTAAACGTGTGCATCATAAAGGGGGCTGGGACAGGGAGGGGGTGTGGGGTGGTTGTGAGAGTAGACTCCTTGGTGTCGTGTTTGTCAGCAGAGTAAAATCTTCAGTTTCAGGTGAGGTAGAGGGGCTTGTCCCTGCCTATCATGCTGCCGCTGTAAGATACGAAAAACAAAGGCAAAAGAAGTAGAACAATAAATTAGACGCTAAAGGTTCAGAAAGACAAACAATATCAAGCACAACATCAAAACATTTAAATATCAAATGTATATGATCAGTCATAAAAAAGGTTTATTTCCTGGTTGTCTCGGGTTCATTTGTCTTGGTTTCTTGCCTGCTAATAAAATAATTATTGTGAACTTGAACTGAACTGCAGGCTGTAAAAATTATATCCTAAAATGTTAATGATCAGCTTTTTGTGTTTTTGTGTGTATTTTTGTGATTCCTTCAAATGCCATGAACTACAAGTTCCAGGGGTTATTGACTTATCGCAGTAAATTCAGACTATAATTGTTTTCCCTATGAAAAGGTAGTAATGTCCCAATAAGTGTTACATAAATTTATAAATTGTTGCATACTGTAATTTCCACCGTACATTTCGCACCGCCCTGTAAGTCGCGTCAGTCCAAATATGTCTAATAAACTGGAAAAATCCATAAATACGTTGCTTCTCCATATACTTCGCATCTATTATGCATCACCGCTTATGCAGCACCGCTGATGCATCACGTTTGTCACACGTCACCGCTGACAACTCGGAAATGTGGGCTGATGTGTCAAAAATCGATATGCTGCCAAATAGCGGCCACAGGAGCGTGCACGGGAAAACTTTAACAAGAACTGAATAAGATTAACACTTAAAAACTATTATTTGTTTGTTCAAAAATATAGTAAAGGTGTGGCTCAGGCTAACTTTTTCTTAATAAATGCACTTCAATGGCCAAATCAGCAGCACTTCAAAAGCTGATAGGCGGAAACATGAACATGCAGAGGGCGACTCGGTCCATTTCTTCGAAATTTAACAAGATAACCACCTAAAACAATTATTTGTTAGCTCAACTTTATAGTAAAGGTGTGTCTCTGTTAAACTTTTACTTAAGAAATGCACTTTGATGGTCAAATCAAATGTATTTCGCTGGGGCGGCACAGTGAAAAGAAGCTGATGTGGTTGCTCCAGGCAGATGACGATGGCAAGCTAAGGCAAGTCGATTGTGGCATTAATAGCCACTTTTACCTATTGCATGATACAGCGGCATGCCTTACTACTCAACTGCCATCTGTGGCTGAAAATGGTAGTGTTCAAATTTTTTCAGAATGTCAGAATGAATGGTAACGGTCATATCTCAGCCAAAACTTGGTTTTAAAATATGGAAAAAAATCCATAAATATGCCACTTTGGCCTATAAGTTATAAGGCATGCAAATTATGCAAAAAAAACACGACCTATATGGCAAAAAATACTGTATTTTTTTCTAAGGGCGTTTTTGGTTTAAGACTTGGATTAGACTGTATCTATCAGAAACACCACCAGAAACCCTCAAATCAAAGAAATGTATTTTGTGAGTCAACAGATCAGACAACAGACACATTGTGAAGGTAGTTAGGACAGACTAAACCAAATGCTAAAACACGATTAAAATAACCTGTCCACACCAACCTGCAGTGGTTGCCACACTCCCGATTGCAGTATTCACCATCCCACTCATGGGTCGGAGCCACTCCAGCTCCCGGACCGGGGCCAGGGGCTCCTGGAGACTGGGATCCCCCGATGCTCTTCTGGTACTCTGACTGAAGGTGGGAAAAACCCTAAAACAAAGAAACACATCCAGAGAATTAAACCATCTGTAAGAAGCAAATTTATCATCCATGCTTCAGTTTGTTTCTGTACCTGCTGCCCTGGAGGAGGGGAGTGGAGAGAGGCCTGAAGCCCCATCTGGTGGGAGATGATTGGCTGGGACTGGACCTGCTGCATGCGGATAGGCTGGTTGAGGAGCGAGCTCTGGTGCAGGGAGAGCTGCTGGTGGGGGTGAAGCGGTGGGCTGATCTGAAAGGAGGAAGGTGGAGAGGCACTAATGCTGGGCAGCATTGGTGATTGGCTGAGCGTCTGCGACAGAGTGTGGCGGGGGGCGTGTCCTGCGTAGCTCTGCAGGTCAGTGAGAGGGAAGGGCCCGGGGCCCAGGTATGGTGATGACGGCTGGGGGGGAGGTGGCACACTGTACAGGGGCGTGTTGGCTGTCATCATATGTGGAGAAGCCTGACTCGTTTGGGCAGTTTTTGTGTCCACTGGCTCATTATACGTCTGGAAGAGTGACAAAACCATCAAAAATAGTTCCACTAGTCAGACTTGTGCACGTATTTTAGAGTCAATTCTAATTCACAGATTTAAGATCTGTGTTCATTCTGTCTAGACATTTGGGGCATTTCAGTCAGATCGAACTTCAGTTATAATGCAATTTTTCACCTTGTTTTAAACTTTTCTGAAAACTTTTGCAATTTTGTCTGACTTTACTTGTGAATCCATGATTCTAGAAAGGTCTCCTCATGACAACAATACATAGTGACATCAAGTTCAAAAACTCCTGTGTCAAAACACCAGAAATAATAACCGTTTAGCATCTATTTTATCTAGTCTGTAACCACACTTTTCTATTCACCCACCCTTCTTTGCATGACAAAATGCAAAGGTGGCTTGGTCAGTTGCAGGACCTCTTGTGACCTGCACAACTATAGATGTGCGTGAATTTATCTTCAAATGCATGCCTTAATTAATAGTATCAATATAATGCAGAAGTTGCTTTTAAGGCATTGTCGACAAAACTACAAAGCAACTCCCTCACCCCAAATAAGCACAGATTTATTTAAAATGATTTTTTCCATTGAGCTGTTTTTCATTTAAGGATTTGTTTACTTGTAAATTTTTGTTCAATCATTTCAACAATTAAAACAAATGGACTTCATGCGGGCAAGCAAAAGTTAAACTTTTTTTTTTAACAATTAATGACAGTTTATATATTTATGTTTCATTAAAATGTGACAATCTATTTTGATATGGAAATATGACATACTCATGACTAAATCTATACCATTCTACTAAAGAGCTAAAGTGTCTTAAGCCCTGTGGCTTATTATCTTTAATTATTTTTTTAACCCCACACAGCCACCTCAGCACTCACATGTATGCATCTCTTCTTCAAGTTTTCCTGTTTCACTTTCTTCCAAAGGTGTAAGTATGAAATATTTCTAGTGTTTCTCATTAGCTGTCAGACTGGCTGAGGTGATGTGTGGGTTCTGCTATTTAGTAATGGCTCACATCCATCCAGCTGAATCCCTGAAATAATCAATGGGACAGGATGAGGGGATGGATAAGGCAGAGGGACAGGCACATTTGCAGGGTCAAGTGGAAAATGAAATACTGAAGAAATGAGGTGAAGGAAGAAGAGGAGAGTGACATGATAGGTCTCAAGACTTATTTTTTAAAGTGGGAATTGAGCAGAGGTGTGGGACTACTTCTTATTGTCATCAATTTAAGAGGATTAGAATAAAATAAAATAGGTACATTTTAGCTCATTCTCTTTACATTTATGACGTTTTGGGATATAAATGAACACAGAAGATGAGCTAATAGCACATAGATTGCAATCAAGCTTTTAATCTCCCCCCCCCCCCCCCCCCCAACCCCCCAACAAACTAACAAGTGTTACAAAACAAAAGGGCAACAGGTGCACACTGAGGATGCAAATCCTTCAAATGAACCTCCAATTACCTCCAATTCCACCCACTCCAATTCACTCTAAAAGACGCCTTCATTGGTGATTTAAAACTGAAAGTCATTTTGAAGGATGAGGCTCAGTTCTGCTGCTGAATGTGAGTGAAAGAAGGTCTGCAGGTTTATTTTTGTCACTCAGATTTTTGACTAGCAGCATATGGCATCAATCAAGCCTCTGTATAGGACGCCTTGAATGTCTAATCGCACCAGAAACAAGAGATGAGAATGGTCTTTTGAGTTGAAAGTACGCCACAGTGAAGAGGCTGATGAATTAACTATGCACGCCTTAATCAAGGTGCTTGTTTTCCGTCCATGAGCATGAGAGGAAGCGCGGCGTCGCGTTCAAGGGAGGAGGGATGGAGGGCGAGGGGGAGGAGCTTGGCATATGCTAATGCAATTTAGAGTTGAATATGATGAACAATGTAGAGAGACAGAAATGAAACGCTGCACACCCACAGAATGAAGCAGCCCTGGTACATTTGCAACTATTGTCAAAGCCTCACAGACATTTGAAGTGTGGTTTGCTCAGCTTTTTGGGCTTTTTAAACAAATATTGACAGATGAATGTTAATACTCTGGGCATCAAAGAGAGAGCAGTGAATGTGAGCAAACCTCAGCCAGCACATTAGTGGCCCACCAGGGAAGAACGAAGCACCAGGAGGACAGCAAATGACAGGTAATGTCCACTCCTGCTTTTACTTGTGCACACAGATGAGCACTATTACTTTTCATTTCTCCCCAGGATACAAATTGGGTGTGTTTGAGGCCTAATTTAGTCTGTTCTCTTAAGAGCACATACATATTGTTTCTCATTCACACACACACACACAAACACACACACACATATATATATATAGAAATGAAAAGATATATATATATATATATATATATATATATATATGCATAAATATATACATTTAGTATGCGTGCATGCTAAAAACCCTTTGTGCAGTTTGTAGCTCTTTTCCTTGAAATGAAAACGAGAGGAATTCTGTCTAATTTATCATCCCATATATTGCTGCTGACCCATGTATATCAAAGATGTGACCCCTGCTGTTACCTTGGAAACCAGACTGGCTCTGTAGGCGGCCAAAGCTTTCAGGTACTCCTTCTTAGCAGCCTCTGTTTTCCTCTTGTAGCTCTGCAGGAGCAAACACAACAACAACAACGATGTTTGATTACAAGCTGATGCCAAAGGCTAGAATGAGACTGTCTTCCACAGCAACTGATGCGGATGAGATTTGTGGAATCGCAGAGGTGATGACAAACAGTTCACACACATTTGCTTCACAATTATCAGGTCAATGAGACTTGGACATTTGCATGATGTTGATGCGTTCAAATCCTTTGCTTTTTAGAAAGTCCAATTCAAAGCAAAATGAAATGTCAAGAGAGACTGTGCACAACTTGAAAATAAATGTTCAGGTAAACAACGACTGAGACCCTGTTTGTCACTTTGTGTACTGCTTTCCAGTCTTCTCCTCCATTAAGGCTGTTGCTCATCTCTTAATCAGAGCTGATGTCCCAGCAAATCATTCAGACGCGAAGGAAAAAGAAATAAAAGAAGTCAAAACAGCGTGAGCAAGAAAAGGCAATCTCTAGCCTTCTGAATGAACCTCAAATCATGCGTGGAGACAGGGAATTCAAGTTAATGTCATCACATGTCACTCACAGGCTCCATATAGCCACCACTGACTTTCTGATGCAGCAAAAGCAACTTAAGTCCACCTCCATAAATAAAAAAACTAAAAAAATAAAAGAAAGACTCAGATCTCTGCTCATCTCCGGGCATTTTAATATGAAGGAAAGTGTGCGCTTGTGTGAGTGAATGAAGTCTGTAATTACTGATCCTCCATGAGATACTGTCTGTGGCGACATACGCAGGGTCACTTCTTTCAAAAAGGTGGAGTAGAATAACCATTAAGCATTCATGTGCTGCCAAATGCACATAATCTGTCAGCCACGAACACATAGTCAATAAACAAACAAACACATAGGACAGCAAAGAAACTGGGTTGAAGGCGGATACAATCTCTTGCTCAAACAAATGTTTGCTTTCTTACTCATCTCCATTTGCAATATTATTATGATAATTTATTATTATATCATATTATCATGTGATCAGGGCCACCTGCATCATGAAGGACCCCACTCACCCAGCACATACACATTTTGCCCCACTCCCCTCAGGAAGGAGGTTAAGGAGCATTAAGTCTAGAACCACTGGACTGAGGAACAGCTTCTACCCTGAGCCTGTTGTTTTAATGCTGCTAGTGCTTGGTGAATTTTTAGTTGTTTTTCTTAGTTCATATCTCAGATCTTATTCCTGTTTTTCTTTGACACACATTGTAATGCTTTTGTTGGATGTAACCCTGCACACAATTTTGTTCCACCACATGTACCACATGTGGTGCGAACGACAAATAAAGATCCTTGAATCCTTGAACCATTTTCATCTAATACATTCTGATATTTTGAAACAAAACAATAAAGGGAAACAAGAAACTTTAAATTTGTGACGATTTTTCAAAAAAGAACAGCAAAAATGTTTTCCCGTCACCTCTTAAACCCTCACATGTGAATAACCCAAACTACTCCAAGCAGCTTTAATTCCCAATTAACTTAACACAGCTAATGAGTCGAGCAATAGTAGATACTTTTAAATAAATTACCATGCCTAAGGATGTCTAATTATTTCAAAGTGAGTGAATCCATTAGCGGTTAAAGGCTGCAGGTCAGTCTGAATTAAAAATAACAAAGCTGAGAGGGAGAGAGCATATGCCTCCATCGTAATCCTGACACAGAGGTGTCCCGTCTGAATTAGCCCCTAATTGTACCTTAATGAATTGTCCTTGTTTGATAACCGCTTAATTACAGGAGACAATAACCCCGCACCCTGCTGCCACTGAAGGGAGTGATTACCCTGCATGCCCGAACGATAAGGGGATAAGAAGGAGGAGGAGGTGAGGAAAGAAATTGGGAAGCAGAGATGGAGGAGAAATGGCAGACGGGAAAAATAAGGAGAATTTAAAACACTATAATGCATATGAATAACAAAAAATCAGAAAAATAAACGAGGGGGAAAAATGGCAACATCAATTTAAATCTGAGTTTAATTCCTGGGTGCTGTTTAAATTAAGTGACGGGTTTCTACTTTTATAACATTTTTTTAGTTGTTGTTTTATCTCTGACCTTTCACTGGTACACAAATCCAAAACACCGACTCATTTAAATAAAGCTAAGGTTTCTCCTCCCTCCCAAACCCATTAGCACTTTTCTGTCGTGCCGCCGTTAAAACTGAAAATTGATCTTAATCTCGAATAACAAAAAAAAAAAAAACAACAACTGGAAAACAAAACAAAACAAACAAAAAACGTTATTTTGTGTTTCTGGAGCAGCTTTCACACATATAGTCACCTTGAGGAAGAACACGGGACTAAAAAAGCATTGATGTTACAATATAAAGTGCATGCTTTTGGAAACAATAATAATAATGAAAAAATGCTGTGATTTAATAATAAAAAAATAAAATGTGAACACAAGAATGAGTTTAAAAAACAGACTTTGTTCTGCTGAGCTCAAGGACAGCTTTTGAGACACAAAACAACACAAGAAATGTGTGTGTGAGTGTGTGTTAGGGAGGGTGTGGGGCGTTACTGATACGCAACAACAACAACAACAAAAAAAAACATCACGAGCAGAAAACAAATCAAAGTGGTGAAACTTCTGATCGTTTCTTCTAATACAAAATGAAGTAAAATAATAAAAAAAAGGCTTTCTTCTGTGCATTCATGTGAGTTATTTTTTTTTATTTTTGCTGCATGGTATGTTCAAGGAGGGCTACAGGTAATTGGAAACAGCAGCCAGGATCTAGTTAAAACAAAGCTGTGTGTAGGAGAAAGGTTGTGTTTACATTCAGGTTTTTCTGCAAGGCTCCAGAGGGTCTGACGGCGACGTTACAGAACACATCTCAACCGTTCTGCAGCCGTGATGTGACAGAAAAACACAGAGAACTCCAGGAGCTCAGAATTAAATCTGTGTGGATACAGTAAAGCTTTAAATTCAACATAAATGCATTTCCAACTACCATTACTGGGGAAAAGGCACACGTTTTAAAGTTTACAGCACGGTAAAAAGCAAAGGCAGCTATTTTAATGACTCTGATCAGTATTAATATGCACTAACTGAATTGGTTCTTTTCTGTAACTACACTGTTGTCACGTTTATCCATTTGTTGTGTAGTAATAAATGTCAGTGCTAGTTTGTAGTAATAATTAGAGTAATCACAACGGTTACTGCCTAGACCGAGTGCTACGTTTCATTCCACAATGAATCATTTACCTCAAGTTAATTATGTGTCCTGTGAGGTGGCACGTTTGATTAAACACATGAATGCACAATTAAATTAAAAGAAAAATAGCTGCGGATGGGAAAGCAAAATGAGAGGATTTTATTAGCCCTCTTTCTGTTTTCAGGTTCAACCGTGAGGGATGGATGGATGGATTTTTGATGAGTGAGCAAAAACAAACCAAAAAAAATGGAAAAAGTAAAATAAAAGGCTTAAAAGAATTCAGGACACAAAGGGTTAAGAAACGCAAACAATAACATTTCTGGAGCAGATGTCCTTGAGGGAAAACCAAGGACAAGGCAATTGCTAATCTTGTATTCCCAGCATGATCAAATCACCAGGCAACAGATATAAATAAAAGGACAGGAAATGAGGAATTCACATTCAAGGGTGTCAGTGGCGAAATGAAGATTCATGGTGAAGAGCCTCGGCCAAGGCAGCAAAAATTAACTGCAAATAAAAGGGACAGCCGGCCTCTAAAGTCCAGCGTATAAAGTAGGTTTGGTGGGAGAAAAAGACACATGCTGGATGGGGTCTGGTAGATGGTGGCTGTGCGGAGAATGGCTGCACTTTGTCATGGAGACAGGTGCTTTTATTTGACACCCAATAGGCTGTGCCCTGACTGGATATTCTAAAAATATGAGTCCGTGCATGATCGTCAGACTGTCTCGTTCTCCCTTCATTTCACACCATCATTTGTTACCACAAACACACGGGAACCTATTTGACTCGGATGGCCTGGAATGTGTTCAGATGTGATTGAAACTGGGCTTCACTGTGGAATCAGTAAGCTGCAGTAAATGCGAAGGTGCTTTTAAATGCACAGGTTGGGCTAAAATCAAATCAAATCAATTTCAGTTAATTATAACCACACTATTGATGACCAACAAAAAAAAAAAGATACAGCTGTGACGCTCTAAATCTCTAACATGTTTAAAACATCATCCTAGAAAAGTTATAAGAATGTTAGTGTTATGATTGAAATATTCTTTCTGTCTTATTTAGTTGCAAAAATTTGAAAATGAATGTAATAATCGAACTCAAATGTTCCACAAATTCAGATTTTATGAAATATTTATAACCCATTGTAATGATTTTTGTGTAAGAAAGAAAGCATGAAACTTAATTCAGCTCATTTCTGTTGGTATGAATCAAATCATGTTCGTTGTAGAGCAATTGTCTGCACCAAGTCAATAAAATATATTTTAAGTGCATCAAATGTGATTTAAAGTCTTAAAAATAAAAACAGAATTCCAAATGCCTAGTCCTACAATAAGAAAAAAAAAAGTTTTTACTGACGTTCCCTGACTTAACTGAATGCATGTGATATATGTTTCAGAATGTGTACACAAACAGTGATAATATATCTTCTTCCACCTGCGTAATTTTGCTAAAATTAGAAACATCTTATCTAAAAGTGATGCAGAAAAACTGGTTCGTGCATTTGTCACATCTAGACTGAACTATTGCAGTGGTTTATTATCTGGGTGTTCAAATACTTCTTTAAAAAGTCTTCAGTTGATCCAAAATGCCGCTGCCAGAGTCTTAACTGGAGTTAGTGGGAGATATCATATCTCTCCAGTTTTAGCTTCTCTCCACTGGCTCCCTGTCAAATTCAGAATTTTATTCAAAATCTTACTTCTAACCTACAAAGCCCTCAACAACCCAGCTCCATCTTATAGTTGAGATCTTATTGCTCCGTATTTTCCTAGCAGAGCACTTCGCTCTCTAACTGCAGGCATACTTGAGGTTCCTAGAGTTTCCAAAAGCAGAATGGTAGGAGGATCTTTCAGTTATCAGGCTCCTCTCTTGTGGAACCAACATCCAGTTTCTGTCCATGAGGCTGACACATTGTCCCGTTTTAAGTTATTCCTTTCCACTGTCACCTTCATGCTTGCTCAAGATGAGAGTTCTGTGATGGAGTTAAATTCAAAGCAGTCTGCTCCTCAAATAAAGTGTTATGATTTTTATATATGAATGTTTCTGTTCAGTGCCCTGAGATGACTTCTATTGTGATTTGGTGTTATTTAAATAATAATAATTGCATTGATCTGAATACCTGTTTTTGCTCCTCCCCCAGGCCGTCCCACATGGAAGCGACGATTTTTGATACGTCTCCGAAGGTGGCGTTGGGGTTTTGTCCTTTGATGTGTGCCTGGGTGTCTCTGAAGAACAAGGCGTAGGCTGACACAGGCTTAGTGGGCTCATTAGGATCCTTCTTCTTCTTCTTTTTTTGGGGTTTGGGCTTGGGCTTCATCATCTCTGAAGATGGCCGCTTCTCACCTGTCATCTGGAAGACGATCATAGCAAAGAAAACAACAAAACAGCTTATTGACACTGAAACTACAGCTACCAATTCCACACACACTAAAATTAAACTCACACATACAATGAATAATTGCTTCTCTAATGATTGTGTACAATGCTGGGTCCAGGTGATGCATGTAAACTTCATTAATTTGACTCCTTTCTTTAATAACCAATGTTCTAAATATTGCAGCAATGTTTCACTGATAATCACGTTTTCACAGCTGGTATTGAAAGGAGCCATTTTTATCCCCCGCAACACTTTTTCAAAAAAAAAAAAAAAAAAAAAAAATCTTGCACTAGTTGAATTTATCATACCTTTTCAAATCTTTATTTTGCAGTTGCTCAGCAAGTAATAAATTCTGACTTTTCATGCCAGGGGTGAAAGGACTTTTGAATTGCTTGATGTATCTTCCTTGGCTTTGATGTGGTCTCCGAATGAATTGGAGAGAGCAAATGGAATTACTTACTGATAGGAGAGATCGTAATCGTTTTTATTCACATACACCATGAGAAGCCTGGCAGATATGTATAGGCAGGGAAATGTATTTTTTAAACTAAAGGATCCTCCTTTACTCATACTGTATCAGTGAAAATAGCAGCTAAATACATGGATGATTCTGAAACACTAAGGAAACGGAAGATGTAATAGCATACTTATATAGACTTTGATAGAAATGGAGCATGTGCATGGAGATAATGAGTTGTTGGCCATTTCTTAGAGATTTTATCATTAATAAAATAAAATCTATACATGATCCTTAATTTAAAAAAGGACTAATTTAAAGGAGCCAGATGGACCAACCAATGACAGAGATGGTTAGGACTGGCAAGAACGGCAAAGCTTTTGATCATCCAACCTAAACCATTCCTACGTTTCTGAATGAAGTACCATATTTTCTGGCGGATAAGTCCCATCAGTCAACAAAAGCATCATGAAGAGGAAAAAATTAATAAATAATAAGTTGCTTTGGCATATAAGTCACATTTATTATGCATCATGGCTGACCCGTTGCGTTTATTATGTGTTTATTTAATGGTCAAAACAGCTTCCTTTTGCCTGGGTGGCATGGCACCATCCATCCATCCATCCATCCATCCATCCATCCATCCATCCATCCATCCATCCATCCATCCATCCATCCATCCATCCATCCATCCATCCGTCCGTCCATCCATCCATCCATCCATCCATCCATC